TGAGGATTAATATCTCCTAACCACTGGCGTACATGCAATGTCTCACTTTCAACGTTGCCATATCACATATCACCTTTCGGTAGAAATATCTTGCGAAAGAACCCCTTTAGACAATCGCGTACACCACAGTCACATCATTTCTGTACGAACCCTCGTTTCAACGTTCTTCCTCCTATCTGTCTCTTCGCCCTATGGACTACCACACCAGGTAAAACCATCCTTACAAATGGCGGCAGTATGCACTGAAAGCTCTGTATGTACATACATATATACATATTCCGTTGAATTTTATATTCACAGTCAAGAATACTATCAAATTTTGGCGCGTGCTTCGCTATAGAATACTTGTTAATTCCGGGACGGCCCAGATTTTATCTAAAATTCAGTGGGTCAGATGCTCTTCATACTTTGCAGTAAGCTAGTTCGAAAATTAATCGGTTCTAGCAGTTCATCCCTAACATTGTAGACAAAAGTGCCCTGGACAAAGATTTAGGACCGGACCAGAGGACCGGACCTAAGTGGATTATTTCAGGATCGGACCAGGGAACCGGACCAGACAGTGGAATAGAGAACTTTGTGAGAAAGAAGGATGACTCATCGGGTGTCATCATAATTTAGTAACTGAGAGACCAGAACCAAAGACACATGCAGGTATTTTCACAATCACCCGTTGTTGGAGAAAATTTTGTCCCATGTAGAAACGTGATTAATAAATACAGAAGGCGCGCCGTTCACAACGGCACTTCTGACTGAGTTCACTTATTCAGACGTAACACTCTTTTACTAAGTGCAATCTATGTATACTGTATTGTATTGAACCTTCGTTGAGTGCGCTGTACCCAAGCGCGGAGTGTGGAGTGCTTTGTCCGTCAAATAAATATAGCTATTCCTAGCTGGAGGCGCAACAGATAGACGTGCCTTATCTACGGATGCCTGATTGATGACTGAACGGTTTGAATCCGTGTCAACGAGGGTGCCCATATCATGGTCGTTCACTTGTAAAGTAATATATACAAGATTATCGGCAGGGAACAATTTATCCTTTACTGCAAATATGTTGCAGTATGACCAAATGATATGCACATGTTCACGTCAGACACCCAAACATCTCAATCCGAAACTATCTCTTTTTTCCATCCTGATGGTCTTTGTTCGGCTTCTATCAACTCATCTTCACTCTGTACGTGTGACTCGAACCTCTGCTGGTGGTTTATCAGGCTACTGAATACCGTTCACTAGGTTAATATCACGAGAGCGGAAGTTATTACCCAACCCCTGTAGCGCACGCGTCGATGTGCCCGTGGCCGATGTATGTTGTATAGAAGCTTACCAGGTTGTGTACGGTCACCCTTGTTGGTCTGGGGTGAACAGCGGTTTGCATGCCCTGGTCCCGAAGGGAGGCCTTCCCGGTTTTATGATAAATTAGGCGAATGACTGAACCATCCAAACTATTCACCTAATCTGTATACTACAGTGTATTTGCATCAGCACGCAAGTACATGAACGCAAAATACGTCACACATCTGCTCAGATGAGTAGTCTAGCCAATGTGGATGCATACGAAGAGTATCGCGGTAGTATGTTCCTCCCACAGCTTGACGTGTAAGATTAATCACATCATGATTACGATACTCCTGTAAAGTATTTTCATACTGTCGCATTTCCATGAATTCTACTTTGCGTTCAAAATCACAAATCTGTGTATCAAGCGATGATACCAAAGGTCTCAACTTCATACACGCTAACACCAGTCTGTATGCGTTATCCTCCAAGTTCTGCTCTTCTGTGCATAAAACGAGAGCAGTGGCTTCACCAAAGAACTGCCAATTTTGCTCGTTCTCCACGATAGGTCCCTAAAAGAACCGGGTCTGACTTGTAAAACTACACACTCTTATGCCAGTCTAGAAAATTTTCATGCACCTGTATCTACTGCGGAGTATCCGAATAATAGCTGTCCTGTGGATTATAGGCGGCCAATATATTTATTTATTTTGGGTGTTCGTTTGTCGAACGTCACTGAGAAAAGCATATTTTCAGTCCTATTAGATGCTCGAATTAGACTATGTATCGCACGCGCATCTTCTGTGCGTCCCTCTACTTCTGTGTGCATCATTAGTCGAATCAGATGGAAGGCTTGCATCTATATCTTTGGTGCTGTAGACTCAGTGATACAAGTCTCTACAGGCTCTGATAGCTTACAGCGTAAGTAGTGATGGTAGCGATGTTCGTGATAAACAGAGAAGTGTTTGTGATATGTCAGCATATCAACAGGTCCATACGCAGCATCTTGACAATTCTTCTTCATCTCTTCCGGTGAACGTGGACGACTATGGCTTTGTAGCTTGTCACGAAATGGATTCGCTACTACCTGATCTTTATTAAGTGGTTGCCGTGGAGATTTCATCTCTCTGCGAAGTGCATCAAATGAACGCTTTGCTGACGACAACAAATCATGCGGAATGTCCATTGCCAAGTGCAAATCCGCTGGGTTTAAATAGATACTGACAGAGTATTTCATCATGGTTTTCGATTCCTGAGTATTACTAGGGCCACAAAGTTCTATCGGGATCCCATAAGGTGCCGGAATTTATTGTGCTCGATTTTGAGCGTATTTCAACGTACACTACCTGCGAGTATTGTGTACATTATCATGTTGTGCCACCTGATGTATAGGCTTCGTGCGGCAAATTATACGTTTCACTGGGCTGATTTGCTTCATCTCGTCACCCTCGCTGTTAGGCAATTGGTCAGTTGGTGTCGTTCATGCCTGCGTTGGGTATTGAGGTGCATAGAATACTTATCCTCAAAAGCCGTCTGAATCGTGCTATTGTCAGTAGTCGAGTTAACGTCCGCAGAGGAAATGTCACGAAGTTAGTGGAGTTTCCCCCGAATTAGCTGAATGATCTCCGTGGCTTCCTGTACATGCATTGTCAGCATTTGATAAGTGGCCATCCTTGTGTATTAGCAATCCACTCATGCTGATATTTGGCCTTATTTGACATAGAAATCGAGTGTTGGGCTTCAAAAACTGAACAGACAAGTGAAACGTGGATTTCTGCCTTAACTTCATCCTTGGGTGTCGGATCCGTAGAAAAAGCTGTCTCCACCTTAGCGCAAATTAAAGGAAGTTAACGATGAACTCCAAGCAGTCGTTTCCACAGCCTCTCACAAGCTTGCTTGCCCACCTCGGGTACCAGTGCAGTAGTAGGTTCCTTCATTACGGTAACCTAAGAAAAGTTTAACTTTGGTCACTTGAAATGTAGTCAAAACCGAGTAGCGCTTAGTAAAGAGTGTTAGGTCTGTAGTTCTTAGTCGTATTTGCTAATGTTAAATTATCCTAAGTTCTACTTGCTAAGATTTAAAATATTCTTGAAGAAACATGCACGTAAAGAGGGATGTCTTGATCTGCGGAAGGAAACAACACACCTGCACTTAACAGCCTATATCACGGACTACACAACGTGTGGCTGAAATGACTGAACAATTGAAACCGTACGAGGCGGGGACATAAGCAAGTCTCACTGGTACCACGGAACACTCCCACTTTTCTCACCTTGAAGCATGCTCTGCCCACACACCAGAGGGATAAGGACCAAAGACTCGGTTGTAGAGCCACCATTGAGATGCGTTTTTCTAAGCCAAGTTGAGATCAACCGAGAGCAGCGGTCAAGACTGGCTCGAGAACTCCCGTCATAATATAATTTTACCCGACAATACAATATGCTTATACCTCTGAAGAAAGCACAATAGGTCTAATATGTGCTCTGACAGCCCTGTATTTATGTGTCCCCAATTTTCTACAGTGGTTTGGAAGAAGAAGAAAAAGGTATAAAAGAAACCGAAAACAACAAATAACTATTGATAGAGTTCGAAAACAGGTACTCTCTGGACTAAATATTTTGTGCACCACATCCTCGAAACAACACAAATGCGCACGTGTCAAAGGATTGAGCACTCATACTATCAGCTCAGATATACACTCAGAAGTGAAACCACAGACAGAAAGAAATATCACGCTTGATAAATCGAACAAGGATAAACCGTTTGACACGCCCAAGCTACAACAGAAAATGTCGAATGGGAGGCAAACAATGATGTTCAAATTTAGGGCCGTTCTAAGCCTGAAAAAGAAGGTCTACTATAGGATTTTCTGAGTACTTATCAGTATTACGATTTCTTGGAAATCGATTTTCCAACAATAAAGCGATGCCATACACATGCACAAATACGCTATGTGAGACAGATGTGGACAAAGTACTCTGGACGGTAAGGATCAGAGGGCCCAACCTACAAGTGTAATTTTAGGACCGGACCAGAGGACAGGACCTAAGTAGAATATTTCAGGACCGTACTCAGAGGGACCGGACCTAATATTAAGACAAAGAATTTTGTATGAAAGATTGATGACTCAAGAGGTGTCATCATAATTTAGTAACCAAAGACAAAACATAGATAGGGGTATTTTTCATAATTGCCTGTTGTTAGAGAAAATCTCGTTCCACACAGGAACGTGATAATAAATACAGCAGACGCGCCGATCATAAACGGCACTTCTGACTGGGTTCGCTTATTTCAGACTTAACACTCTTTATTAAGTGTTACTTGCTTTTGACCACATTTTTAAGCGACCGAACTACTGAATTTATTATACTACGTTCTTTAAAGGTTAAAGTAACTAAAAAGCAAATCAGTTTACTTTTAGTATTTTTTTTTTCTTCACAACGATGACGGGACACGAGACTAGACCGTAGCCTACGGTGGGTAAGCAAGCCTGTGACCAGCTTCTGAAACGGTTGCTTGGAACGATTCGCCATTTAACCGAGCTATGCGATAAGGTGGATACAGCACGTGCCAAGCAACCTGCACCCGAAGACGACGAGAAGGTGGGAATCCATTTGGAATTGACTCATTTGCTTTTGGAGGCCCAGTACTCAATCCGAACCTTGGGTAGGCTTAGCCGAGCCCAAGCATGGATTGCGGATCAAGCAGGGTACCTAAATATGTTGATGCATTTGAAGGGAGCAAAGGAAAAGAGTCGCCTCATTCAAGAGCAACTCCGCCAACTCTGTCAATTGTCACTAGCAGATATTGACATGTATATGCCCCAGGACACGGCCCAGGCGAAAGTGAATGATGAATTTTCTGCGACTGAGGTCAAATCGGTTCCTCAATACCCAACACAAGCAGAGCTACCACCAACCGACCAGTCCCCTGACATCGGGGCTATCAAAAGGAAGAAAATTAGCCAAGTAAAGCGCAGGATTGGCCGCACGAAGCCCGTACCTCAAGTGGCTCCTTACGAGAATGTCCATGTTACGCGCAGAGAGCGATTGCTGAAGAACGCTCAAAATCGAGCCCAGACGATTCCGACTCCTGATGAGATGCCGGCTGATGGTCTGGATTGGTATCAGGAATCGACCACTTTGGTGAAATCACCTGGTAGAATTTTTTGGACCCAGCGGACTTACATTTGGATATGGCCACCCCTCAAAATTGGTCATCGACGGCGAAGCGGTCCTTTGAGGCATTTCGCAGAGTGATGAAATCTCCACACCAACAGCCTATCAAGCGAATTTATTCAGGGACAAATTACAATAGCATCGTCGTCCGCAATCTTCAGAAGAAAGGAAGGAGAACTGCCAGGATAATGCAAATGTTCCTATCGATACGCTGGCATACTTTCCTGTTCACCACGATCGTTACCTAGAAGACCCGCAGGATGTGAAACGATGTAAGATATCACCGCCTACGGAGGCGTGTATTACTGAATCTACCGCGGCAGAGATGAAAACACAGGTATTCCTTCTCACCCAACGTATGATGCAAGCAGAAGCTGAAGGACTCACTGAGGACATTCGTTCGTTGCAGGGCTTAATTCGCACATCCAACGAGACGCTGAAGACTTGCTCAAAAACGGTAGAAAAACGGACATCCAAGAAATGGCCACCTAATCCACAGGGCAGCTATTATTTGGATAATCCGCAGAAGAAACAGTTTCATGCGTTTATTTTGGATTGGCATAAAAATGTGAAATTTCGCAAATTAGACCCGACTCATATGCCGATGGGCCTACATAGGGCACTACAGAAAGAAAGAGCGCCCAAGGCGCTTTTGGATTTTATTGTGGAGAACGAATTAAAATTGCATTCCATGTCGTTTCTGGACGCCACTGCTTATATTGTACGCACACACGAACAAGATATGGAGGACAACGTATACAGAAATGTATTGGTTTGTATGAAGTTAAACCCTTTGGTTCCACTAGAGACACAACTTCGGGATTTTGAACGCAAAGTAAACTTTATGAAGATGCGACAGTATGAGAACCCACTACATGTATACCGCAACCATGGTATGCTCAACCTAATCAATCAAGCTGTGAGGGGTGCATATCACCGTGATACTCTTCGTATGCACCCTAATAGGCGAGAATATTCCGCGGCACAAATGCGTGATGTATTTCGGGTGAGTATTGATAAGGCGGAAGAACACCGTCGGGCAAGCCTTCCCGACCACTGTAAATCCCCGGGGGTTCACGTTCACGCACACTGAACGCGTGTGGAGGCCAACACACGAGCTAATCCGCATGCGCCGCCAGCATCGAATCCTAAGGCCCGATGTCGGTCATGTGAGCAGAATCTCCCTCCTGGCCCAGTACACGCACCACGTTGCCTTAAGTTACTGCGAGCACCGAACGGAAACGAACACGGGCAGCCATACGCAACGTGGGGGTGCGCCACCATACCGTTCATCGGCTGGGGCAACATCCACGCGCACACGACGTCAGATGAAGTAGGAGAGAGTGAGGTGATGAATATTCATGATTTGGTCGACGAGTCGTATGTCGACAGTGAAGATGAGTTGATGGAGGCTGCGCAAGGGCCAGCCGATAGGGAAGATGAGCCAAGCTCAAATTGAGATGTTGGGGTGTCTGAGTTAAACGTGTGCGTGACGTTGGGTCGAACGGCAACACGAATATTTGCAGTAAAAGATAGTTCCCTGCTGACAACCGTGTATATATAACGTTACAAGTCAACGGACATGCGATGAACACACTCATTGATACGGGGGCGAACCGCTCCGATATTACTCAGACATCCGCAGCAAAGGCGCACCTGTCTATTACACCACCAGCTAAGGACAGTTACATATACTTGGCAGACAAAGCTTTTCGCACTCCGCGCCTGGGCAAGACACATGCCACGACGGTTTAATATGGTACAAAGTCTGCTACAGGTTGTACGTTTGAACTTATGAATTTACCCGATAATATTGATGTAATTCTGGGAATGGATTTTATGGGCGTCGACATTCGCATGGCACCAGACTTGTCCGAGCCTGAGGATATACGGCAACGACTACGCCAGTACTTAGATGCCAACGAGACCATTTTGGATGCGGCTCGATGTACTTTACCAGGCAGCGAATTATCCCTCCCCATACCTCGCGATAAACTTTTGGGCCTTCGACGACAAACACGGAACTTTGTGTCAGACAAGTACAAACCACACGTCACGCAACAGATACATAAATGGGAACATGTATTGATGACTAAACGTCGTACGTCGGCGTCAGTGGTCAACCTGCTATTACTAGCAGTACCATCATTTACACCATCAGGGGAACTCATTAAGCTTCGGGTGTGTTTGGATTTGCGACAGATCAACGCCTTTATTCCGGGCGACCAGTTTACGTTACCGAAGGTCAATGAGATTATTAGTAACTTAAGAGGCAAGCGGTATTATACCACATTAGATTTATCGGCTGCATATCATCGCCTTCCCGTACACGAAGACTCACAACATATGTTCTCGTTTACTTGGGACAGTCACCAATACTTCTTCACTTCGGCCCCATTCGGATTGTCGACACTCACGTCTCAATTCCAGCGCACAATCAGTAATCTGATGGCGGGTTTAGACGTGCAGTGCTACGTCGATGACCTTATAATTGCATCTGATAACTACGAGAAACATATTGCAACTGTGGAAGAGGTCATCCGACGGCTTACCGAGAACAGCTTCAGGCTTAACCAGAAGAAGCATCACTTTGCAGTAAGCGAGGTTATGGTCCTGGGGAAGAAGATTTCTGCGAAAGGAATTAACGTTGATCATGATAAACAACAACGGCTGATCGACTGGCCAGTGCCGCGATGCCAAAGGGACATAGCATCTGCATTGGGGTTGGCGAACTTTCTACATGAGCACTTACCTAACTTTGCACATAAAGTGGCCCCACAACGATTGTTCTCGAAACTCAAGCCGAAGGAACCGATTGGGGATCGTTGGAAACCAGAACATCAATAGGCATGGATCAGATGAAGGAAGCAATCATATCTACGGTACGGTTAAATTTTCCGGTTGACGGGGTTCCACTCGAATTAGAGACTGATGCAAGTGATTATGGTATCGGCGGTGCATTATTTCAGTTAATTGGCGGCCACAAGCACTACCTGATGTTCTTTTTAACGACTCTCAACAAGGCGCAGCAGATATACGCGACACCAATGAAGGAATTGTTAGCGCGCACATATGCATTGGTCCACTTCAATGATCATTTAATATGCCAGCGCTTCACTGTGCACACGGACCACAGAGTGCTGATTTACATGAACACACAACTGAAATTGAACAGCATGCTGCAACGATGGCATCACATCATTGCGCAATTCAACTTCGTGATAACACATGTCCCAGGTGAACTGAATGAATTGCCAGACATGTGGAACCGGGTTCATGAGGCACGGCGGATATCAACTTTCCTGCTATCTTCTACACATCGTGCTGGAAGTTGTATCCCGATTTCTTTGATCAGGTTTAAAAACACTTTGGACCTAAAGACGTTGACGCCTTTGCATCAAGCCACAATGCTCAGCTACGACAATACTGGTCATACGATAAAGACGGAGGCGCTTTTAAATTTGACTGGAGTAAGTACAGTGCGTGGATGAATCCACCATGGCGCCTTATACACAAGGTAATTTGTAAAGTATTGTCGGACAAGGCGTCCGCGACAGTGTGTCTCCCGTTGAACACACGGGCGCCATGGTTCCCTCTGCTTCTATCGATGATGCAAGCAGATCCATTGCTGATCCCGCGTACAGCCCATACGTTCTTGAAGCATGGCACACAGGCATGTGGTAAGTATCCATGGGAACATACGGTGGTAGTGCGTATTGGCCCTCCATCGGGTTATAAAGTTTTTCCATCATTTTGGCGTAACTTGGGTCTCGAAGTACCTGTGTGTGAGGAAACTAATGATCGTTATCAAGAGACATGGGCGCAACTAGCCATGACCAGACGTACACGCCAGATTGCGGAACAGGTGCCTGAAATTTGTGCGGGGGCGACGGTGCTCAATCATCCTGGACACGAAGAAGCTAATCGCCGGGTACAACTTACTTGGCAATTTCATGAACAAGGACATCCTGCTCCAGCGGTCACAGTGCAACAGATGCGAGACGATGGACAGAATTGGGACCAAATGCTTCCAAAAACGGAAGAGATCCGGAAATATGACACACATTTGTATTGGCCCTCCATCGGGTTATAAAGTTTTTCCATCATTTTGGCGTAACTTGGGTCTCGAAGTACCTGTGTGTGAGGAAGCTAATGATTGTTATCAAGAGACATGGGCGCAACTAGCCATGACCAGACGTACATGCCAGATTGCGGAACAGGTGCCTGAAATTTGTGCGGGGGCGACGATGCTCAATCATCCTGGGCACGAAGAAGCTAATCGCCGGGTACAACTTACTTGGCAATTTCATGAACAAGGACATCCTGCTCCAGCGGTCACAGTGCAACAGATGCGAGACGATGGACAGAATTGGGACCAAATGCTTCCAATAACGGAAGAGGTCCGGAGATATGTCGCACATTTTTAGGTAATGACACTATGAAGAAGAAATTTAATCCTTTAATGAGTATTACGGCACGTAATTCATGGGATCACATTCAAATGGATCTCATTCTGATGACAGTAACATCTACTAAAGGCAACAAGTTTATTCTACATGTCTGGATGTGGCATCCGGATACTCTATTATACGGGCGCTGCCTGTAAAAGATGCTAAGACGGTGGCGACAGAGTTAGTATTGGTATTTGGTGAGCATGGCTTTCCTCGGAAAATTCAGAGTGATGAGGGGACTGAATTTGTCAACAACATTGTCAGTTCTATAACACGAGCACTCGGAATTATACACAAGACATCTCAGCCATATCGTCCTCAAACATTGGGTGCGGCAGAGCGCCGACACAAAGAAATTCAGAAATGTGTGCGCGCGCTTTGTGTTGGCTGTCCGGAATTGTGGGATGAACGCCTACCTTTTACTATGCTTTACCAGAACCTCCGGATATCACGTCGACACAAGTCTGTAATAGCCGGGTCTCCATATTAGACTCTATGTTATAAACGTACTCTTAAGCAGTACGTAAACTATAAATGTACTCTTAATAGTACAAGGAACTTAAGTTTCCTAAATGGTTTTTAACGGTTTTATTAATTAATACCTTTTGCATTTTACATATCAGATATTTGGACGTGGCCATTAAAAGGCCTCAGTAAAATACCAGACATAAGAGTTGGTCTAGTTCTATTAATAGAACTATATTTACTTTCCAACTTTATTTATATCTGATTACTTCGGTAGCGAGATGGCTCAACCGAATATAGGTTTCTAGGGACTAATAACGTTACCTAGTTGATCCTCCGATCAGCCAACTAGATGTGCCAGTCTGATGAAGGCTAAGTCGGTAATTCTTGATAGTGGCAAGTTATTGGTTAAGACAATAACTAAGGACGTCAAGAGTATTTTTCATTTTTCATTTCTTTTTTCTAAAGATAGGATTTTATGAGTCTCTCGGATTCGCCCCAGAATAGAGCGACAACAAAACACTAAATAAAATCCCTTCGGCGGAAACAGTACTGAGAGGATTATATATAGGCAATGTCTCAGCCTCACAATCCCTCAGAGTATTGCTGTTTTCACGAGGCAAACCTAACTTTATTGTTTATTTATATCGATATTTACACGATACTTAGAATTTACCGACGCGTTTATTTATTCTAAGGCATTTGTACCGCCTTTATTAGACCGAATCTTCAAACGAAGCATACCTATCTTTACTAAAAGTCTCATTTCGTTTATTTACTTTGAAATTTTCACGATACTTAGAATTTACCTACGCGTTTATTTATTCTAAGGCGTTAATATCGCTTTGAGAGACCGAATCTTACAATAGGAAGGATAAATCGGAAATCACACAAATTGATGCCATACAATACCCATACGTTACTATACAAGTAATACGACACGCCAACATGAACATATATTTCATGCGCGTAGACATGAGTCATTATTTCTATAAACAAAGTATGCGAAGTACCTTATAACCATTTTATGAATTTACAAATATTCATAACCAAGATTCGTTCGTGATTTAATGTAAGATTACCTCGACATAATTATTAAACAAATGATAGTGAGCACAACAACGAATAGTGACATGACACACTTTAACAGCACGGGTCTTAGAGACACTCACTTACATATATATAGACATTTAATCCGAATATACACATATAAATACTACAACATTGTAAACATTACACGGATTGAATCGAAGAATATCACAGTAAACAGATACATATATACACATAAATATGTGCACTACACAACATATACAGGAATACCATAATTAGCTGACTAAATATTACCAGTATCAGCATAGAAGAGAATGATACAGGCAGTGATATTAGACGTAAGTTACAACACAAGACATTTACATTTACAATGAATCACAATACAAGAAGTATAAAATAGATAAGATTACTAATACATTATATACTTACACTCGGAAACACTGCGGGAAGTCATCCACATAGTAGCAATAGGATGGCAGACGGCCACTCAGAC